CCAATAGAAAACGATCCATTTCAATGGGTCTCTTTCTCCATATGCATGTGCTGTGTGTACTCCGTCTGACTTTGTGTTTGAAATTGGTGGTATTTCCGATGAGCACTGCTCTTCTTTTGTTGGTCGCCGATGTGGGCCACCATATGGTATTATGGCATTGCTTGTGTGCTTGTTGGATTTTCTGGGACGCACATACACACAGAACGGTGCGAGTCAAATGTGCGCACACAAGACATACACACACGCATATCCAAGCACATTGTCTGTGTGACTTCTACTTGACATGGTATGCGGGGCGGGTTGGTGCGGTAAAGGCCGACGGAAGCTGGCAGCCGCGTGAGCCCAGCAATGGCGTTTGTGGTTGTGTGCGGGATCATATGTTCCATCAGATGCTTGACGCCGTTCATGGACTGTCCAAAGTTTTTTACTGCGATACCCATGCTGCGTCTGTGCTGAGCTGCTCACTGCGTCTCCATGATCTCATGGAGCAAGGCGTGACGCTGCTCGGGGACCTCATGACGCCGCGGTAGCCGGTTATCAGCAGCCCTGCGCGCTACTTTTTGCCGTGGAAGATGCGTCTGTGAGCCGCGTGGCTGAGGATTGGATGGCAAAGGTCCCGCACAGGGATGCACACATCTTTGCGTTGGGGTGCACCCCGCATCGCCTCCTTCAGCAACTGGTGCGGGCTCGAATAGCGCCGAGGGCGATGCGTTCCAAGGACATTATGTTAGACTTCAGCGCCCCTGAAGTGCTGGTGTTTCACCCCAGCATGCAGAATGAGTTCCCTCAGCTGCTGTCGCCACTGTCGCCGCCGACTCGAGAGTCCGTTTTGAACGTTGCTGAGTCACTTATTGTGGCGGCTTTTCACGCCATGAACAACGGTGTGCCTGTTATTCGCCACCAAAACAGAGGCAGCATCTCCATGGGTTTGCCAGGACCTTTTTTGAGGGCTTTTCAGGCTCTGCTACGACGAGCCGGATTTCGCTTAGTGGCGCCGACAGCTGCGGCAACCCGGTGCGGATCATCGTTGATTGGGGCTGTGTCACGGTGACGCCGCTGATGCACCAACGCACATGTCAGTGTCTGCTTGATGACCTGATGCCGCTTGGGAGGAAAGTGTATGAGCATACCCGTAGGAATCGTCTGGGTTTGGGCTCGAAGCGGCAGTAATTGATGAGGAAGATGTATACTAGTGCTCCTACCGTCATTGTTTTCTTACGCAGTGCGTGTAGGAGCTTTCGGCGGCGCTGAAAAAACTCCACGTGTATCACCCGGGATTGGCGCAGGACGTGGAGCCGAAGGCCGATCCTGCGAAGCTGGGCAGTGCGGTGCGGGCTCCGCCGGAGTTTTGGGAGAGGCAAGCCGGACCGTCGCTGCACATCGATTTTTTGCGCGAGGCTTGTGGCACAGTACCGGGAGAAGCGACTGGCGGAGGTGCGGGAGGTGGAACAAGACATCGCCGTTGGGCACAAACTCCTCAGGAAATACGTGGATGGTGTGCGGCACCTGACGAGGGATGCCGCAACGTCCCGGCCTGTGCGACTTTGTCTTCTCCTGTTGCTTGTGACTGCGAGCAACACCGACGAGTTGACGGAGGCGAAGAAGCAGCAGCTGATCCGAGACGGTGGACTGACGCCCATTTGTTTGCGAACCTTGAGCATGTGGCGAGGAGGGCCGGGAGCGTGCATCGATACAGCACGGTTTCGGCGCAGGGCGGACGGAGCACGAGTGCCTCTGCGAGCAACGCCGCGACGGACGGGGATCCCTTTCAGAAGCATGCCTGTATGATGATGGAGACGGCGGGCAGGAATAGGACGCTGCGGGTTGAGCTGTCGCTGGCATCGATGTAGCGCGATCATGCGATGGGGCCAAATGGCGCGAGTGGTGGTCAAAGCAGTGGAGCATGAGGGAACAACGCCGAGCCATTTCAAGGGTGTGGTGGCAAAGAGGAAAATCATCCAGATCTGTGTGGCGGTGGTGGGACGATTGCCCTCACAACTCCTCAGCGTATTGTGCTGCTTGTTTTGGGTGGTGTGGCCTGCAGCGAAAGGCGCTCGGTCCATGAGATATCCAAAAGGTATGGCCGTGAGGTTGTCATTGGGGAAACCTCGCTGCCGCGTCCTGAGGTGTGTTTGTGCAGGGACTTGGCATCCTACGGCACTGTGACTCACGGGCGAGACACGCACAGGAACGCATCGAGGGGCAAAGAGTGGAACAGATGCAACCACACACGATTGCGGGTGTCTGTGGAAATTGTGTGCGCTTTTTCCTGCATCCCGTTCCTTTCCATGAAGCGTTTCATACGATGCACGTGTGTGTGTTTCAACGGCTGCGCTGCTTGCCTTTTACCTTTGTATTCTTGCGTGTGCGTTTGCGGGCCATTTCCATGCAAATAAGAAGGCGGCTAAAAAAGGGAAGACATTTGTGGAGCATGCACCCACGGCTTCAGTGTTCATCCACCGGTGCTGACCTTTCTTGCCAGGGCATTTGTGCACGCTTTTCCCTCCATTGTCCATTGTCTATTTTTTTCGCGCAGGAATCAACAGGTGGGCATTTGTGAGTACTGCGGCGGGCTGTTGTTGCCCTCGCCGGGACGCGCTTAACGGCGGCAGCTCCATGACTTTTTGCACAAAAGGAATGGGACTTTCTCCGGATCCTCACCGCAGGCGCATGCCGTGGACGGCCGCAAAGGAGTGTGTGCCCGGTGTTGTTCGTAGCTCCAAGGAAAAGATGGTGTTGGATGCAGCACGACGAGTGGATGTGGAATGTGTCGACCGTGCATCGCAGGTGTATCCGCTGGAGACATTGCGGGCGGCCGTCGCCACATGCGAGTACAATATATTTAGAGGAAAGAACATTTTTAATTGGTCTCTCAGGTGGAATCCAATGTGCTCAGGCAATGCTTTACGGCAAGGAGTGGCCGGAGGGGACGCACGACGAGGACGCCACTCGCACCGCCATTTATTTCCGGGGTGACATGCGCTGTTCTGTTTGTCGCCACTGTTCCCCCATCCCCGAGCGTCGGTGCAGAAGTCCCTGTCGATGCAAGTTCCTGTCGATTGCGGACACACCCATTGATTGATGCGGCCGGCACCGCCCCCAGCAGCTGGTGCAGTGGGACTGGGGACGAGAACGCGGCACAACAATTTCAGTCAGATGGTGCTGGCAGCCCTGTCAGCGTCTCGCCTACCACAGCGGCGAGCACAGAAATCGACGGGAAGGGAGAGGAATCAAATGACTGCCAGGGAAACAATTGTCTTTTAACATCGCTCCCAGTCAAACAGCCGGAAGAATTAACGACAACATCAGTCACTAACAATGACGAAGCAACAACGACCACCGCCGACAGCGACAGCACCACCGCGGCCTTCCAAGCCACCTCCCATCCTTTGCGTCTTATTGTCACGTATGCGTGCTGCTGCTGCTGCTGCGGAAGTGGCCGTGCCTGCATGAAGTGGTGTGCGCTGAATATGGACGAAGGCCGATGACAACCGAATTATTTTGCGATGCATGTTGGCTGCACTTCCCGTGGACCAACAATCCACGTGGTGTGCGGGGATCACTCCCTTTTAAATTGTTACTTTGCTTTTGTGTTGCTGTGTGCGCTGCACCTTTTCCTGTGTGTGTGCGTACCCTCCGTGAGGGGTGCAGGCACGACGGACCGCTCTCGCCGTGTGTGCATGCGGTGGAGTCTTGTGTGCCGCTCCTGTTTGCTTCTCCCTCTTCCATCTGTGTGTTGGTGCTGCGGCAGGGCTGTGTGTGTGTGCGTGTTGCCGCGGATTGGAGTGTGTGTCGTGCGTGGTGTGCGGCGTACGGTGCATGCCTGGCTGCTGCCCTCTCCTCATGTGGTGTGCCCTCTGTGTGTGTCTGCCGCACCTCTCGTCTCCCCTGTTGCTCTCCATGTCCCTCACTGTGCAGATCAGCTCCACACCACTGAACGACCACACTCACGATGATGACGATGTGCCGTCTGCTGTGCGCCCTGTTGGTGCTCGCCCTGTGCTGCTGCCCGTCCGTCTGTGCCGCGGCACCTGAATTGCCTGAAGCTTCTTCCAATATAACCACGACGAATAAAACTCAGCCTCCAAATGAGGATGCGGGTTTGTCAAGGCCGTTAAATACGATGCCTGTTGTGGAAGAGGAAGCAATTGACGTCAAGGAACCAGTTCCGACCGGTCCGGAACAAAAATCAGCTGATGTGACCGTTATCTTACAGGAAGAAGGTACGGACGATACGACAGAGTCAAAAAGTGGCCAAAGTATATCCGAGGAACAAGCAGACAAGAACGCCGAAGCCCTTTCTAAGACAACCACGACAACTACAACACGCGCACCAACGACAGCCACGACCACGACTACCACTGCGCCAGTGGCGCAAATTACTACGACTACGGAGGCGCCAACCACGACGACCACCAGCGCACCGTCACGTCTTCGCGTAATCGACGGCAGCCTCGGCAGCTCTGCGTGGGTGTGTGGCCCGCTACTGCTCGCCGTATCCGCGCTGGCGTACACCACTGTGGGCTGAAGAGGTGTGTGTGGGCTGTGCGTGCCAGCACTCAGCCACGGGGACATGTGTACGTCTACTGTGGTCCGATGTATAAAGTAAGAGTAATTATTATGATCGTTTTTTGCTTTGCTGCTCCGATGTCCTGCTGTGTGCTCCGCGTTGCTTCCCCAAATTCGCCACGTTGAACGCATCGCGGACATACTCATATGCATGCGCACTGGAGTCTTGGGTGTGGGTTTAAACTTTTTTTTTGCTTGCTAATTAATGTTTTTTATTTTTTTTTACATCTGTTTTACAGGACGGTGGGCAAGTTCTGCAATCGTACTGTTTCCAACTTTTTTGTGGTGTGTGCGCTGCTGCTGGGCTGCCGCCATTTGTGACTTTGCGGTGGCTGTGCGTGGTGTAGTGGCCGTGTCTTCTTTTGCTTTTGCTCTGCGTTGACGGGGAGTTGTTAGTTTGTGCTGAAGGCTGCACGCAATTGACAGGAGTGATGGCGATGATGACTGGCCGTGTGCTGCTGGTGTGTGCCCTCTGCGTGCTGTGGTGTGGTGCTGCGGTGGCGGTGTTGTCAGCGGATGGAGCTGGCGTTGGCGATGGCAGTGCGGGTGAGTATTTGCCGTTGCAGTGGCGTACGCGGTTTCTGACGGAATGCGCAGAGGAGGTGGGCAGGAGGACAGGAGGCCGTGCGAATGCGTCCTCCGTCGAGGAATGCGTGCGTCAGGTGATGGAGAGTTTGCATGCTGCTGTGGATGGCCGCAGCCGTTGGAGGCGTCAACTTTCCGCCGTTGCTGTTGCTGCTGCTGCTGAAGGTGGTGGAAAAGAGAATCCCAACACGGTGGAAGGTGAAAAAACAAGTGAAACACTGGCGACTTCAGGAAAAGCATCTACAGGCAAAAAAACAGCAGTGGCAAGTGAACAGACGTCAGTGAATCCTGCACCTGCTATTGTGCCGCCTGCAAGAGAAACTTTAGTTCAAGGAAAACACAATGAGACAAACGCCAAAGAAGAGAAAGAAGAAGAATGTGGGGAGAAAGATGACAGCGAAGAGGAAGAAGAAAATCACAAGGAAGACGAT